AAGGAAGTAGTTTTGACATTATAGAGGCCTGTACCGATTGAAGAAAAACGAAAGGTAAAAATAGAAATGTAGTGATTTTTTTCAATGGACAGTACATCTCCTTAAATAATGTTGAACGCGTTTTGGAACACTGTGCCTGGGACAGGGTGGTCGTGTCACAGCAACTTACTGAACATCATCAGCTTGGTACCTATTTCTTGCTCTGGGACAGCTTCTTAGGAAACAGCTAGCAACGATTAGGCATTTGACATCAGAATTTCATAGATTTCAAACAAGTTGCTCATACCACATTTCCCTTCAGCCTGGGGGTTTCCTCAAGTTTCTACCAGGCCACACACATCATATGTTAGAAATCTTTACAAGGAAGGGCCCATTTAATGTTACTTGTCAGCACTGATTCCTTTTAGCGAGAGTGCAAAACTATTTTCGGCCTGCTGTGATGGCTATTTTTATCTCCATTAACCTCTTGACTGAATATAAACATTTATTGAGGGTTACCTCCCTTGTTTGTCCGGTTGCTTCAAAGGTTAGTAGAAAGTGGATGTCTGCCTGACCTCTTTCATCCTCATTAGCTGATTCTAATTGTTCCCTGAGAGATCACAGTTTTGACCCTGTTTGTCCTTGTCAAATTTGTCTAGTTATGGCATCAAGACATTAGCAGAAATTGCATTTTCAGGTAAAAATGACTGTAGTGTAGAATACATGCTTACCTAGTATAGAGCAGTGAACAATACTGTGGGTGTTTAATGTGCCCTTGCCTCCAGGTTCCTCTTGTATGGCCCCATGTTATGGACACCTGTGTTAGTAGATCCCTGTGATTATACTTAGTGAGTAAGCAGGATGTTTTGTAAGCTTCTGAGTGATTTGTAGCAGTTCTTTTGTAGGGAGAAATAAAATTTTGTTTGGTTTTTGAAGTCTTCTTTTTAAGCAGCTGTAATATTGTTGCTACTGTGTCAAGGAAGCTTTTTTTCCTATATGGGAGATACTCCTAATAGCACTGTAAAAAAAACCCCAAACCAACCCAAAACATAACATAAAGTAGCTAAGACCTCCCAGCACCACCACCATTTTGGGAATGACCAACTAAATGTTACAGTACGACAAACACCTCTTCTGAATTATAGAGTCATTTTCTCAGTACACTCTTGAGACCCAGAGCATGAACATACTTCAAGTGGGATCATGTCCCAAAGGTAAAGAGTTGTAATGAGGAACAGTTTTCCCTCCCAAGAGTTTCTTCTGTGTCAAGGCAAGAAAGCCCTTTTTCACGTTCCTTGGTGGATCTCAGTTGTGGTTTGTACGGTTGGGGCAAAGGACCTGGCGGGTCTCAATTAGGTATCTCAAATAGACAGGTCCCAGGCTTCACAGGTTGCAACCAGCGCCTTAAATCCCACAGACACTTAGCGCAGATTAAAAAGCACTGGTGTAATGCGCTCAAAGCACGATATCCTGCTTTACAAGCGGGTTGCTGCATTCTGCACCAGCTTCAGCTTTCAAATGGATTTAAAATGTAGCCTCAGGTATAGTGCATTGCAGTAGTCTAATCTTGAGGTGATAAAGGCATGACTGATTTAACCATAGCTTCCTGTTATCTTGGACTGGGGTCTTTTCATTTTAACCATTTTAGGGAAATGGCCTTTCCTGAATCAGCAGGCTTGCTTCAATTCTTGCTATGTAATAAGGTACACCAAGAGCAAGCCTCTGTCAGTGGTGAACACCTCCCATGAACATGTGAACCTCACAGGATGCCAGACCCCAAGAACTGCTGTGGTGGTCCTGACTCCTCTTACAGCTCACGCAATATGCCTGTGAGGTACTTCAAAGGGAAGCCATTGCCTGTCTCTCTTAGTGGAGCTGCCAAGCTTTATGAGCAGCCAGGGCCTTGTGAAGTTTTGCTTTCATATTAAAAGAAGTTTGTTTACATATCTGTACAGCTTGGGAGCAGAGCTATGGGAGAGTGGGAAATTCTTTTGAGGTGTCCACCAGCTCTTCTGGGCTCGCAGAGCTGTGAGACGGAACACCCTGTTCCTCCTCCAGCCTATCTCTAGTGCCTAGAGACCGCTCACAGCTGCTGAACTGATTACAAGTTTTACTGCCAAGCCAACCTGGAAGCTAATTTAGTGATCTCCACGTAGTTCTTTAAGTTCCAAAAAAGCCTTCTGAACGGGGAATGGCAAAGCGAACTCGCGTCCTGACTGCGGGTGCTGGGTCTGCCTTCTGCTGCTGCTGTGGCTGCTTCATCTCCGAAGGGATGAGGCACCAGCCTGGGCTCCTCTCCTTGTCCAGAAGGAACAGGGGTGGTGGCCTGGGACTAACCCTACTGCTTACTAAAGGAGAAATTAATCTCCATGAGAAAGTCAAACGGTATCTCTGCATCTCATTTCTTCCTTAGCAGTATGTGGTTAAGTATAATCCTTTCCCAGGACATATTATTTGTCCCATCTATCTAGATAATAAACTATTGTCCAGCACAAGAAGATCCTGATATTATTTGAGGCTTTTTGATACCACCTTAATGCAAATAATACCCTTGCAAATGGGAGAGACACAATGAAATGTCAGATGTCTGGGAAGAAGAAAAACAGAAATAGGAATAAGATCTTGTGAAAATTAGATGATCCCTTTTGCACTTAAAAGATAGTATTTTCGTTTGGTTTGGTTTGGTTTTTTTAACTTGGTCTCCAACTTAAAACTTGTTTGAATGTCTGAAGCCTTTACAGTGTACTTGGCAAAGTCCACTACCTGGATAACATTGCACGGTCTTTTGATTGTATTTGGGATTACCAGGGACCGAGAGCACATATAAGCACAAAAAGCATGTCAAAGGCTGGACTGAAATGTCAGCTGGAGAAATGCAGCACGTGGTAGGAACATGTCCTGGTCCTCCTCTTCATTATTGCTGTGCAGTCACGGTTGCTAACATTCATGCTAAAGCTTGTATTTAATATGGGTGTGATTCTCAGCTTTGTGAAGAATAGCCACTCTTCCTTGTTTCCATAGCAGCCTTAGCACTGTTTTGGTGTAAATGACACTCAAGTCCAGACTTTTCTATTAGAGAAGATAGAGATGATACTTTGATTACCTTTCGTCTCATCTCTTGCAGATCTTTTTCAGTTCATGCCTCATTTACATCATTATTTTCTGTGCAGTCCATTTGCACTGATTTCATAATTGGTAATACCAGACTTCTTGATAATTTATATATGAACCTAATCCAATTTAAAAAAAACATTACATGTTTACTGGCCAGTTAGAAATCCGAATTTAAATTCATATTTCAAATGCATGCAGTTGAGTTGACTCTTGTAATATTTCATATAAGCAAACACACTTTCTGCAACTTCCCATAAGAAAAGCAGTATTAGGAATTGAGGCATCGGATGTCTCTGGTTGAAGTGTTTTTACACTAGGGTAGGTATATTGTCGCTGGTTGTTACATTCCTTTTTTCTAATTTCATTCTTCATTTATATCTGTTTTTTCCAACACTTCTGGAAGATGAATAATGTCATGGAGGCAATAGAGAAGAAGTATGACTTATGGATAAACATTTGTATGAAAAATGCAAAATAAAGAATGCAAACTAAACAAGGAATACTATATTTGATAAAACAGTGTTAGAGAATAAACAGATCAAACAAAAAAAAGTGGAAAAGTGAAGAACTGTGATGTTCAATATGTCTTATGCTGTCATCTTTATTAAAATACCAATATATCATAAACTATATTAAATATATTATATAGTATTATTAATGTAATCTTATATAACTAAAGTATTTTAGATAATACCTTATTTTCAATAAATTTTTTTGTATATTTTGGCAATGTAATATGTTCTACAGTAACTCTTAATATACTTCACTACATTTCTAGAACAGTCATAAATAACAAATGTGGCCAATACATCTGGAATGTCCATGTAAATATATGATTTTCCATATCCTGGAATTTTTTAACTCTTTTAATCATACAGAATATCACAACAGAATGTAGCTGGAGCCAGCTAGATAATTATTAGTGGAATATAAAAATAATTAAATTATCTTAGAAAAGGTTGGAATGTCTTGGACAGAATTATATCCCAGAAAAAATAAAATTAAAAGTTATGTGGTGACTGTTGTAGTTTGTACTCTCTGTTGTGATATAGAGACAAAGAGCTGTGAATGATAGAAGCGGCATCTCAGTGCCGCATACTGACAAACTCAGGATTAACCACAGGGTTTTTGCCATTTGATTAGTAAAAGGAGTTAAGTGCTAATAAATGTGAAGCCTTTACCTTGTATCTCCTCAAATACCAACTTCTCTAAATACAGAATCTGAAATGTACACAGGAGGTGGTTTTGTTAAATTGCCTGCATGCCTTTCAGGTGCAATGGATGTCATGCTTTACTTTTGTGCCTTTGAATTTATTAATACAACTTCATTTATAGTCTTTTTGGAGACAAAAGTGCAGTGAATCATTAGCATTATTATTATTTCAGACATAGTAAAATCGCACATCAACACTTAGCAAAAGGGGAAAAATTCCATTATCCATTCACAACAATTTCCTCTGATAATACAAACGTTACCCAGGACAGATCTTTGAAATGGATACCAATTCTTTAAATTCTTTCCTGTCTGTTTCAGGAAATAGTGAGATCCTGTTGATAATGAAGTACAATGTGTCTAAAGTTCACTTCTAAACACTTGGCTCTTTGCTGTGAAAGTCATCTGCATTCCCTTTATAATTCTCAGCCACCAGAGATCTGCTTAATCTTGGAGATCTGATCCAATATCATTCGGAAAAATCCTTGATAATAGTTTCACCATTCAATCAATGAAAGAACTAAAGCTCACTGCTTCTGTCTCCTTAAAGAAAATCCTGAGGCAGGGGAATAAGACCCTGGCTTATGGGTTTGGAGATTTTGTTGTTTGCAAATAAAATGATCATTACTATTATTATTCAAGTTCTTAATCAAGGCAAGCAAATGGCATCTGTTTGTTATCATCCTTCCTACAGAAGACAAAGGCTTCAGTCCCTATGGTACTGACTGCTGGCCCCAAGTGGTTGCTGGATGTGACTTGGCAAGGAGTAGAAGACAACAAAAACAACTGCATTGTGTACAGCAAAGGTAAACACAAGCTCATTTTTTTTCCCTCTACTTTCTTGTGCAAGGTACTGAGATAAAAATATACCTGTTGCATAATAGGAAAATGAAGTCGTTTGTTTCACATTAAAGTGGAACAGTTTTCATTCCCATTTTCCTACCGTATCCATTTTCCTACCCTGCTCTGGTTTTGATTTTTTTTTTTTCTTTTAATGATACAAACCCCCAACATGGTGTCTGTAGTGAACTAAATGCTTTATAAATGCAGAAGGACATGGGCTGACATAAGACATACCATCCATTTCTCTCTGAGAGTTAGTGCCTCTTGGGAAACATCAGTAAAACCTATACCCTTGAAAAAGGTGGATTCTTTCTGACATTTTATTGGACATACTGGACAGCATTTCTCCATGTTACATTACATTGTAGACTACTAACTGAAATCTAGTTTTATAAGAAGAATTTGAACTTGATTGGACTATGATAAGACTTCATGTCAGCATGGTAACAGAAGATAACTGGAACTGGATTTCAGGGTTGTCACCTCTGACGTTCCAGTCTCTTCGTAGTGGCATGACGTGTTGATGCTTCACTGAAATGTATTGGCTAGTGGCAATGCGTATCATTTCTGTCTTACATGAATTGTCAGATTTGTTGAGTCAGTACGAGTTCTTACAAGGCCCCCCAGATATGCTTTGTTTAACCTTGTCTAACAGCTACTTTGGTTCAAGATGCAAGGCTTTTGTCTTGCATCTTGAACCAACAACCCTCAGAGCCATGAGCTCAGTCCATAGTGGCATGGGCTGTGCACCACGCTGTTTGGTCAGTCACTGTGAAAGCTTTGTAAGTGTGGTTATGGTATCATTGCAGTATGTTAAAAAAACCCAAACCAAACCCCACTTAAATACATGGAATAAGAATAACTTATTTAGTGGAGCTGGTTTTGGTATTCCCCCTGAAGATCACGTTGCAAAACTATGACTTTCCTTCCTGGTGTTTCAATCACCAATCTCAGCACTTCATGAATACTTCAGAACATGCACTATTCTTGTTTAATTTCTTTTAGGTTTTATTTCTAACCAAACAGACCTACTGAGATCAAAGATTTGTTTGCTGAGGCAACCTAGTGACCATTTCAGCATACAAGCATCCAGGCAAATAAGCACCCGTATCAATACATTAACATACAAAACACTAATCATAACATCAAAGACTCCTAAAAACTTACTAGAAACAATTACAACTTGTTCCTATAATCATTGCAATTTATACAGTTATAAGAGGATTGCTTTTAAACTGCCACAAACCTTTGAAAGTTGAAACGCTGAAAACAGGGAATTTGCATGTTAAAAATGAGCTGCACACTAGGGTCTTATAAATTCTTTCTATTATGATTACAGAATGCCAACACATTCATTCTGCAACCTGAAACACCTGCAGTACTAGAGAACCGGGCTCAGATCTAAAAAGGCTTGAGCTGCCCTTCCTTCGCAGCTTGCCAATCCCTGCCCAAGTGAAAGAAGTTGCAAAGTGCTCTGAGTAATATTGTGAAGCTTTTCTCATGAATCCAGAGCTGTGGTTTGCTATTCATAGTACTGAATACTCACAGGCAAACTTTTCTGCAACAACTTTTTAATGTAATGGGAAATTTCTTTCACTCCAAAATACAGCTTCTGCAAATTCCCATAGGATGATGTCTTATCAAGTATTACATTCTTTCTGTAATTATAATAATACTTAGCACATATATACCAGTAAGGCTTTTCATCTTCAAAATACTTTACAAACATTAACTAATTCATTAGACGGTTTCAGTGCTATCTGTCTGATTGAATCTATTGAAATATGATTTTTTTTTTTTAAATACTAAAAACTTTCTTCAGTTTGGTGCAATCTGAGTAGGCCAAAACATTAGTCTTTTCATTCAAACATGCTGGATTTTGTTTCAGTGACGATGCTGGTTATTTTTGTGCATTTAAGTTAACAAGGTATTGTGGGACAGTCATAGAGTGCTCAAGGTGAATTCTGTTATCACTATCGCAGATGTGTATTAGAACTAAAGTTGAAGATAAATTCAAGCCCTAATTTATAAATAAATGTTAAAAACCTGCTACTTCACTAAAATAATGTGGGAAATAAGTTGTAGATGTAGATTACCTTCACTGCATTCTGTTCATCTCTCTGCGCTTTGAGTTGGCTGCTCTGTCGTTCATTAAGCACCTACACTTGCCTTGAGCTCTGCTGGGATTTTTGTACTAGAAAGATTAATTGACTTGGATCACAAAACAATGTCAAATAGAAGATGGTAAAATAAATAAATAGAATAATGTTTCTTCCTTCAATTTGTATCTCATCATTCCAGATTACATTGCCTTGATTTGTGTTAGCTTTCTGTCTCCTGTAGTGCCATTACTTCTAATGAAACGGTGTCAGCTGGCGTGTAGTTGTAATTCGATGTTATGTTGTAGTTGCATGTGTATAATTTTGTTAGTTTGCTTAGCAATACATTGTTATTTCTGAAAGCAATTAGCTGAACAAATGTGTGGAATGGTACATGTAGCAGATTTGGTCGCCTGGGAGCTGTTTTCCTTACTATACCCAAGACGAGATGAGTGGAGTAAATTGGCACATTTCTAAGAGGAAAATAAGTTTGAGGACAGGCTAGCAGTACAAGGCACTGGTCAATCAGTTGCTGACTCAGAAGCGCATGCCATATTTCCTTTTAGCTTATTACAGTGATAACTTTGAGAGCAGAATTTTCCTCAGATCTTTCAGGAGAGCATGGGAACGTCAGCCTGACTTCCAGTTCACTAGGAGCTGTGGGCACTGTAGTCACCCCTGTATTGCACATGGAATAATCCCAGGGAAGAGGAGTCTGGCACGTAGTTCCTATTGAAAGGGAATCTAAGCTGGCCAGCTAACACCCTATTTACCTTCAAAAGTCTCCATAAAATATTTTCCCTAGGTAAGCAAACACAAAAAGTGTTTGTGTGCGTACATATGTGTAGATATATGACGTACATTTATAGGATTATATTGCTAAATTATTACAGTGGAATCACATTTCATCTACTACATAAATTTTTAGATTAAGAAACCAGTTATTTAAAATCATACATCAGAGTACATTCAGAGTGAATAGCTATGAAATAACTATTCAGTATTTGAAATTAATTCTATTTAGTCTAGGATCACTTATTTTCTATCTGTAATTCTTATAACTACATTTTCCCAATACTAGGACAAATTAGAAAAGGGAAAAGCAGTTCATTAGTATCCCTTTTTACAAGCTCTGATACAAGCCAGCTACTCATGGCATGTGCCATTATCCCATTCTATTTTTTTGAAAGGAAACTTTTACAACTGTAATTACATTTGAAAGACATGCTCTTTTTGTTTTAATATTTATGTCAAACTTCTCTCATGTTTCAAAAATAGTCTAGTCAATAATGTGAGAGATGTCCTAGGAACAGTAACTGAAATTTTAGAGACAGATTTTAGGAATTGTACCTTATCTAGAGTTATAAATATGTTCTTTCAAAAAAAAAAACCAACCAGCTACAGAGTTTCAGTAATTCAAGCAAGATGCATTGGTGGGAAGTGTTAATGCATGAACTGTGTGTTCGTTGCAACACAGTGTTCTTGGGAAGCATTCGTGCCTAACAGAACTGTGGATGAGACCTGGTAAATCTTTAAGACCAGAGGTAGGAGTCCCCCCACAACCTAGGAAGGGGCTGGGGTATTAACTGCAAGTCTCCCACTGGGGCTGTAAGGGATTTTAAAAATGAATTATGACTGAATAGAATAGAAATGGTGTAAAAAATACAGTTGCACAGACTGAAAACCACGTTCATATAACAGACATTTTCCTAGATATTACTTAAGCCATTTATGTGAAATGTATGGATACCGTATGTTTAGTGGCATTGTTAAAACAGGGTGTCTGTACAAATATTTAGCTGTGGGAATTATAAAATCATAAGGCGATTAAGTTAGCTAGTTGTGAAATTCCAATATTGCTTTTTAAATGACTTCAGGATATAGGAGGTGCTAAGGTTATTATCTGTTATCAGGAATACAGCGGAATTGTACGACTGGATAATAACTAAACAACTGACACAATGTAAAATTACATTATCAGTGTGTTAAAACAAAATTGCGCCCTAAAGGAGTCTACATGCCAGCTCAGAGCTGCAGTGTAATTATGCTTAACTCTGATAATTAAAATACAACGGAGATCAACAGAATCATTTTCATTAAGAAAATTATTAATGATGGTGGTATAACAGTAATTGATTGCAGAGCACCACAGGATAACTCTGTGCAGGAAAACCAACATGTTTAACGTGTGTCTGGGCCGGTTGGGTTGCGTTGCGTACCACCGAGCACGCTGCCCGGTCCGGCGGCCGCTGCGGGGCGCGTCTTCTGCTGCCAACCCCAAATCAGGAAATGGCTGCTCCTCAGGCTGCGGCCTGGAGGGAGAGGGCTCTCATTTCACGTGAGGCGGTGTTTGGGTTTGCATTTCCATTAGTGATTTACTGATGTTATTTCCTCCTCTGCCTGGCCTCACTGAGTAGTTTATGCCCCTCGTTATTTCTGAGGGGATGTGGGAGGAGAGAGAAACCATCCTCGCCCCAGCGCAGTTCCACAGGCACCGCGTGTCATCTTCGTAAGTAATTCCACAGGACGGTCCTGTTAATCGTCCCGGTGGTACGGACACGTGATATCAATGCCATAAAAAGCCTCCATTCCCCCGTAAGTGAAATTGCAGTCAGTGCCCACTGAGCGACTATAACAAAATCCTGGCTAGGGAGGATGTTGCCTAAGGGTAGGATCCAAGAATTGTCATTCTCTTTTGGTGAACACAAAACTGGGTGGGGGCAAATTCGGGGGAGTGCTTCTCTGCACAGCTAAGGGGTGGGTGCTTGCTCAAACAGATGCTGCTTTTGAAAGCTGCCCAAAAAAGTCTATTCTCCAATCACAATAGAGAACAAGCCTGCTAGGGTGGATTTACAGGATGAGAT